TCCGTTCCCCCCCCCCCCCAAATAAATTCGGCTTTAGCTCGGAACCCGCCAGTAGTACACTTTTCAGTGTGTGGGTGTAGCTTGGCTGAACATGTCCCGCGAGGGGCGAATCTACCGTGTGTTGAAACATTTCGTGAAACTCTACGCTCCGCCGACCAGAAAGCGAACCGCGTCGAGATGTGGCCCGGCGACGGGCAGGGAACACATCTATTATATAGACTAGGCGATCTGTTTCCAAACGGAAGGTGTCGGATCCAGTGTTGTCATGTGACAGCAACACCCAATTTAACTTTCATTTCAACAGCCTCTGTGACGCCAAGCGCATGCATGCATGGCCTATGATGAACCGTGGTGGCGGCGACGACGCCAAGCCTTTCGTACTACCACGAAGCCCATTGCTCCAGGTCGACATCATCGCAAGTATTGCCACAAATCATGAACGTTGGTGTTGCTTCTCTGCCGAACAACGAATAGAACGGGCGAGAGTCTCTTCCCCGGGAAGAGGAAAGGACAGCGCATGTTCCCCTGATTATCAGACACCAAACGGTCGGTGTACATCATCAACCACGCAGACCTTTTCTCTTCCTCTGTTGCGTGTGCGTAGTGCGCCACAGGACACCCAACCGGCTCTTGTTATTTCCGAAGGCACCAACACGGGTGAAGGCTTGACATGTATTACGCGCGTCGTAACCGCCGATGCCCCCCTCTTCTTACCCTTCCCTGCCTTCCGGCCCCACGGACGGCGAAGACATCAGCATGAACAACATACAAGACCTCAAAACACAGTGAGCATCATCTCGCGATGGCATGGGCTAGCATATCATCACCACTGACACGCGTTACATACCCCCACCACGCGCAGCGCTTGCGCAAGCCCGCTGCTGTCTGTGTACCCCCTCCCCCGACCGAACGCTGTGATGGCATACGCACTCCACGCACACATCCCTGTCGGTAGTCCTTTGATGAAACCGTGTTCGTTCGCATTCTTTATCCCGCTGTCAAGACTGACGACGACGCGTTTTCATTGGCCAGCCGGTTAACGCGCAGCGCGGTCAATGCCAACTCAAGACACACACACACACATGCTGCCCGCTCACCGCCACGGGGTCCCAGTTCATGACAGATAGAAGTGTTTTATGTTTTCAACCGCACTAAGACTGACGTCTTTTCATTAGTCAGCCGGATAGCGCGGTCGATGCAAACAATGAAGACACAAACACATTTTCTTTCCCTCGAACAAAAGAGGAAAAACAACGCGAGAGATGGCGAAGTGATGTGTACTGTATCACAGCCCGTGTGTTCATGCCAGACCTTCACCACACATGTCACGACGTAATACACAACCAAGTTCTAAGCACCTGTATTAAAATAGTAAATCTCTCGGTCACTGATGTAACAAAAACAGGGACACGCAGACTTTGGGGGGGGGAGGGGGGTGGGGTCGTACATGAGCTCACAAAGCGCATCAACATTACAATACTTCGCGTTGAAAGAAACGCCACCGCAAGCAGAACTCCTCCACGCGCTACGAAACCATCAACTCTTTCTCCACAAAAGGGGTGCACTTCATTCAATTCACCTGCCACCACAAGCCGGCATAACTCTGCTGCCAGCTACACACCTTGCTCTCCCCACCTCTTCCGAATCCAACACAAACTTTCCTCGACAACTCCGAAGGCAAGCCAAAACACACTTTCCTCAAGAATATCCGAGCAAGCCCTTGTGGCTCAAGTCAACCTCTACTCTTCTTCTTCTTGTCCTTGCTGGAAGGCTTGGAAGAGGAGGAACTCTTCTTCTTGGACGCCTTGCCCTTGTGGCCCTTCTTCGAAGACTCCGCGTTGTCTTTATCTGCATTCCGAGGCGAGGAGGGCAAGGGTAGACACCACGCCGCTATCAGCCACGTGCGCCGTTGCTGGCGCTTGATTGATTTGCGGTCCAACCATGTAAGCGCGAGAGAACCAGCCAACGCGATCAAAAATTGTGGGGTGGGATGACGCTGACAATTGGGCGTACTTATTAATAAGTAACCAGGAGAAGAGAAGATGGGTGCCAGATCACCAACAAATGCGGTAGAACAATTTGGACCGTGTCATGAGCGACCGGGTCACTGTTGTGCCGTCGAGGACAAGACCACCCCAAACAGTAACACCAGTCCCCGTCTCTCGGACCCACGGCCATAGGCGGAGGATGCCGTTTCAACACAGCATCTTCATCATGACCGCGGCTCGCCCAACCCTCAAAACCACGTTCATTTAATACTTGCCTCCACGGGACAAAGGGTGTACGGCGGACTATTGAACAGCGGTCAACCATCTCCTTGACGCGTGACGAGTTACAGTAATCCTTGGCTAACTTGAGAGGCAACAAGCAGAGGGCGCAGCAGATACTCCCCGACGCAGAACGCTTGCACACCACCATTGCCTCCAACCTCTTGTAAAACTACCCCGACGAAAAGACGACGACCCGTCCAATAAAAACAGACTAAAGGAAACACACAAAAGCCGCCAACATCACAACAACAGCAACACCAACTAACAACAACAACGACAACAACGACAACGATCATTCAATCCATTTACGCCGCTCACCGCTTCTTCGACGACCATCCCTAGCATCGCCCACCACCCCCCCCAGGTCCTCCAGCAGCTGCTTGTTCGTAGCACCACTACCACCACCGCCATCGCCCCATACCCCCGTCACCGGTGCAGCGGCAACCGGAGGAGCATCAGCAGACAAAATCGCCGACAGATCGCTCTCCCACGTCCCCATCGACGCCGGGGGCGGCGCTCTCATCGCCGTCCCCGCCGGGGCTGGCGCCGCCGGCGGGACCTCCGGAGATGCGGCCGCCAACCCGGGCCCTGTTTCTCCCGCCCCCCAGCCGATGAGGTCGACCTCGGCGGGGGGGCCAGGCACGCCCGCTGCGGCTGTGTCTCCTTTCCTCGAAGGCTTCCTCTTGGTGTCGGAGGAGGCTTTACGGGACTTGCTGCTTCGCTCTCCTTGGGGAGTTGCTTCCTCTTCTCTGCTATTCTTCTTCTTTTTCTTCTTCGCGTCCTTGGCGCGAGGGGCGTCCTCGCTGCCTTTCGCCATCTCCGCCGTCAGGCGCTGCGACAACAAAAACGCAGCAACAGCAAGCGAGTCGCATCGGTGGCGACGCGCCTTCTTACGCCCTGAGCACCCTTTTTTTCGTGTGTTTTTTTTTTTTCATCAACGTATTCTGGACGAACTTCCGTCCGTCCTGATACCTTTCGGTACAACCTATCTGAAGCAGCAGTCAGGGCCACAGAGGAGGCGACATATTGGCGCTAGGGATCGCAAAGGCACCAATCAATCCTCCCAAGAACCAACTGGACCGAGTCGGGGGAGACAGAATCGGTAAACGAAATCACATCGGTAGAGGTACCCGCCTGTATAACGGGGCAAAATCACTTCTGCGTGCCAAGAACAGCACCGAGGCCACACGGCAGCCCGCAACGCGCGTGTTGGGCTTCATCGTCCCACCTTTCAGCTCTACCCCGACCACCTGGTAACACAAAAAACTCCCTCGTGTACCGGAGTGGACAATAGTACTCCCACAAATCCACCAGATTAACATCAATCCCCACACCACATTCGACAATGCAGGAAGGGACGATTGGCCATAGGTCCCGTCGGAACAATGCTCCGTCCTCTCGAGAACGCGTGGTCAAACATCTAAGGCATGCAAAACATGAGCACTCCCCCCCGCCCCCGCCCCAGCGCCACCCGCATCGCCAATGGCAACACCAGCAGCACCAAAAACGCTTCTAGCGCCGCCTCGACCACCAGCCCCGTCTGACTTACCACGTACGGCTTGACCTCGGGCATGACCTCGTCTTCCTCGAGGGGGGTCGTAATGTCGATCGCCGCCAAACTCTCACGCCCTCCTCGCGACGATACCCGCCGCTGCACGCCGCCACGGCTCCCGCTTCCCGCGGGCTCGTCGACGTCGTCGTCGTCTTCGCTGTCGATGATGGCGCTAGCCGGCATCATCTGCGGTCGAAAGCAGATTTTTCATAACTATTGTTACGCGAAGCACAGTATCGTGCTATTCGTTGGTAGGTTTTAGAGGACAGTTTAGTTTAATGTATTGGTACATACTGAGAACAGTTTATGTTATTTAGCGGTCCGTTAAGAGCCGTACTTCCTACTATTTGGTACCACGTTCTGAGCGTAACACCCATTTCCGCGAATGTTATTCTACAGACATGTACTAAAGAGACAGGCGATCAGTGCAACGGACCACGCATGTCTACAACAGCACAGCTGCTGTAAGGGCAGGGATCGGAGGGGGGTAGGCGCTTTCTCTCTATACCGCCGTTTCTTATTTTCAACACCATGCAACACTACAATATTGTAGCCGGGGATGTTCGTTCGACTTAGAGCCTCGGGGTGGTGCACACCACCCGACACAGCCGTCGGTTTTCCCACCACACGGTAACGTTCGTCCGTCACTTCGATGCAAAAAGTGTCACCCGGCGTTCCAAAAAAACGAAAAACGGGGCTCATATCAATGGACGGCGACGAACTCGTGGTGCATTCTTGAGAAAACCACACTCGGGAGAATAAAAATTGGGGTTCCGGAGGATGGCCCCGACGGTGTGCCCCTCCACACCGGACCCCGTTCAATAGGGGACCCCGCCGTACTGGGGGAAAAAGCCACACCCACCCGATGAACACGCCCCTCTTCTTCTCCCCTCCCCCGCTCAACTCCCACATGCACATGCACTTGTCACACCACGCTCAAACACTCTACGAAAGACCCCAAGCGCACGCTACCGCCCCCGCTGCGCCCCTTCTGCTCGCTCTCACCTCCACTTTGTCTACCGCGTACGCCGCGTCCCTCCCCGCTCCGCGCCCGCGCTTCCCCCCCTTGTCCTTCTTCCCCTTCCGCCCCTTGCCCCACCCTCTCGGCCCCCCGGCGAAATCGTCGTCGAAGCTGTCGTTTCCGCCCACCAACACCAGCGCCGTCGAGGTCTCGCCGCGTGCGTAGCCACCGTCGGCGTCGCCCTCTCCTCCTCCTCCTCCAAGCTCCACAAGCTTGGACGAGCCCTTCCCCCCCAAGTAGAACGGGTCTGTCTTGTACCTGTCGTCGGCCGAAGGCTTCCTCCTCCCTCCGTTCGCCAGCGGGGACCCGCTACCCACGCTCCCGGTCGTGGCCGAGCTCCGGTCGTCTCCCCCTAGCATCAGCATGCCGCTGCCGCTGCCGCCGCCGTTGAGCGGGTTGTCCGGGGACCCGCTTCGGCTGCGGGAGGACTTCTTGCTCTGCTTGCGGGAAGACTTCTTGCCGCGCTTACCGCTGCCCCGGCCATCCTTCTCGGTGCTGCTGGTTGGGGAGGCAAACAGAACAAAACGTGTCTGTGTTAGGGAGGGGACTTAGTTGCGTGTGTGGGAAACGAGCATGAAGTACGAAAAAAAAAAAACACACTTTCACAAAACATAGATTGAATGGAGAAAAGGGTTGGGAGAGGGGGTGAAAAACAGTGTCCAAACGAACAAGAAACATCCTGCGCGGTAGAACATGTGCATGCGCGCGTGCGACACGCGTTGCCATTGAGAGGCTCGCATGGTCCCTCGCAATCGATTCGTCAAAAAGGCCTCTCTCCCCCCCTCCCTCTCTGTCCTAGGGTGGTTCATTTATTGGGTGGAAGCCGTCGCGCTGGCTACAGACAACACACACATGGCACGATCATTTCTTTCATCGCTCATGTGGATCTCAATCCGACAAGATCGACGACAACAACAGGAGAAGAAGTCAAAAGAGGGGAACGAAAACCGTAACCTATCCCTCCCTTCTCCCCACTCTTCAACAAGCAAAACAAAAAAAACGAAAACGAGGGGGACACGCAGATGAGAACTAAGAACCCACCAGAACACCCGGTAGTCCTCGTGCTCGCTCTTCTTGGGAAGTCGGACTTGCGTGAAGGACAGCTGCGTCAGATCTGTGGGTCCGTCGTACTAAATGAAGAGGCAATCAACAAGAGAAACGGGGAACAACATAAGCCGGCGTCGGGCCGCACGAGCCAGGTACAGCAAGCACTAACCACCAAAGCACGACGCATCTGGACGAAGAGGAATGCCCCGCAGAAACATGGGCTCAAGCAACACGGAAAGGGTGCACTGCTGCTGTGGGACCAGCTAAGGGCGTTATCAGACGGTACGATGCAACCCAAGGCTACTTGATTGCTTCCTCACGGAGCACCGTCTACCTTTGAAAAAAATACGTCAATAATCGGGAAAAAAAAAATACTGCTGTAATCAAGTGTTGTGGGGCGACTGCCTGCCTACAGGCAACAGCGCTGCAAAAAAAGAACCATTGTGTCCCTGCCCTTATTCATCTACTGAACGATGCAATGGGTCAGATGTGTGTGGTAAAGGGTTCAAGTACGCTCAAGCCGCACTAACCTCCACCCTTAGTAGCCGGTCGAGCGCTGACCCGTCAACGGCTTGCTCGAGGTCAACGTCGTCCGGAGGCGGTACCCTGCCTTGCGCGCGCTGGTTCACCGGCTTGAGCACCTTTGCACGCACGTTCCGGCATTAGCATGTAAAAATAAACGTCAGGACACATCGCGCAGCACATCACTATAACTATTCGCGGGATGACCACAAGACAGCGAATGACCTCTTAAGGCCAAACGAGAAAGGACTACAGCCTACTTCCTCCTCCTCATGCAGAGAGGAAACGAGAAAAGACTGCAGCTTACCCCTTCCTCATGCAGATACGCAAAAAAACATTCAACACCTACCGAGGGATACAAAGCCCCCTGCGCCTCCGACAAAACCCGGCATATCACCATGTCCCGACTTTGTAGGAATGCGAGGTCTATGGCCTACCGACTTAAAGAAAGCATTTTCTTGAGTATACTCCTTCCCCCCGCACCCGCCGTGTCCTCTTTCCCACTGCGCGTAAACGTTAACCCCACTCGCCCACCGGACAAAATCAGGAAGGAAAGAGACCCACCTCTCCGCACAAGGCGGCCATCTCAGAGGCTGCCCCTCTCGCCGCCCCTACGGGCCCCATCATAGACGGAACAAGCGCCATTGAGGTCAGCATCGCCCCAGGTGCCACCGTCCCTTCCTTGCCGTTCGCAACAGCTTCGGCACCACCGCCGTCTCCAGCAGCAGCGCCATCCGATGGGCTTGAGTCCATCCCCAGGAGGTCTAGCACGACCGGAGGAGCTGCTGCCGCCGAACAAAAAATGGGCGCGCGGGTACAGCGCAAAGCAGTAGCAGAGGAGTCGGTCCATAGGCAAGGGACGAAGGAGATGGTAGTGATGGGAGGGACTTTTCCGACGCAACCAACGCTCGCGGTGAATGATAGAGAAATTGCGGTCCACGGCCTAAAAGAAAAAACACACACGGCCCTCAACGCACAAGACATTCCAGTGCCCCAAACTACGACCCCACACAAGGCTTCATTCCTCTGACTTTGTAATAGTCCCACGTCTCCTCCTCTACATGTACTACACTCTCTCACCCTGGCCCTTAGCGGCACCATTGCCCTTCATCTCCTTTGCAAGCTTCTCGTCGTCATCGCTACCGCCCCCCGGCGACGACGCCCCCCCCCCACCACCGGTACCATTGGCGGTCCCCCCTTCCCCGGGCTGGAACGCCTCCCCGCTGTCCTCCACTTCCTTGGCGATGCTGTACGACACTAGCAAGTGGTACACCGTCGAGGCTCGTTCTTGCACCTGGGTGCGGCATGGGGCGCAGGGGGTGGGTGGGTGGGTGGACGCGAGACAAACACGCGAGATTCACGACGAGGGAACGGGGCGGCTGAACCCCTGTTGCGGTAAACAACAAAGGCAAGCACCTCGGGATGAAAGGTGGGGCACTCAAATGACAAGAGAAAATCAAAACTCCTCGGTGTTGATACCGCACGCCGAATGCACTTATCGAAGGTGTGTACACTGGCGCCAGAGAAGTGAGAACACCAACACACAGACGGGACCTACTTTCCGAGCCGTGTCCAGAACCTGACAATCGAACCCGAGCTGCCATCATCCTCTTCGACAAACGTAATAACCGACAACCTTATGTGCCCTCCACACGCACCCAAGCTACTGCACGCCTCCCTTTAAAAGGGTTAACACGCACCTGACCTGACACAAATGCCGTCCAACACCAACGTCCTTACAGACTCCCACTCAACCACGACCCCCACTTCACACATACATACACGCGAACAAAACACCGGAAATACATCAGTTTGGACACCCACCGCTCGCTGAGGTTCAAACGCGACAGTAAAAAAAAAACACCGCCGCAGCGGTCAACAACACACCTCCATATGCGGGGACTGCATGAGGGCCCGGAGGCGGCCGGGCACCATGTCCAGCGTTCGCCCAAGCTCCCCATCGTCCGGGCACGTCTGGCACATGGCGATTAGCACCTTGAGGGCGTTCTGCACGTAGACCGCCTGCGTGCGGGGCGGGAGCGCGCTGGCCTCTGGCGCGAGTAGCGCCTGCCGAAAAAAAAAAGGGGGGCACAAAATAAGAAGGGGGGAAGGGGGCACATAAGCTTTCAAGACGCGAATAACACAGATAAAAAAAAATATACACTGAAACAAGGATCAACGGGGGGCACCCATGGCGCTACCCGAAACTACATACTGGAAGCGAATCACACAGATGGAGGGAAAGACAGAATAGCCTGCTCATGGATCACGAGCCAGCCATTAACGCGAAGGAGATACGTATAAATAAAAAGACTGACAGATGTGCGTCTCGGTGCGCAAGCTCGGGGCGCTAGGGCCGGAGGAGTATCAACAGGCAGAATACCGTTGGTTCGATGATCTTCGTTTTCCGTAACAGGCAAGGACGTACTTCTTAGCATGAAAAAGAAAAAAGCACCGCAACAGAAAAAAAAACAAGCACTAACCTGTATGATGTCAAACCACACCCGCTGCCTCCTCCTGTGATTCCTCGCCACGGTCTCCAGGTGCGGCCGGCAGTACTCCCCCACTATCCACGCCGCCGCCCCCAACACTTGTTTCATCGTGCTACACGACCGACCCTGTCGTTGTCCCAAGTCGGGGACAGCAGTGTTCGTCATGCGGGTGTTTCCGACGTAAAAACAAAAAAGATAAAACAAATCAGTGCGCATGTTCCAACGCAAAACAAAAGACAAACAAACCATCAAGTATGAACGCATTCCACGACGGAGAAGAAGGAGAGCCGGGGGAGGGGCACGCGGTTGTGAATGAGTGGCCTTGGTACCCGAGGACAAGAGGAAAAAACCGTAAGACGCACCCTGATCGTTATCATTACTTCATTCATTCTCGTATACAACAGAATACACGCTACAAGAACGGGAAGAGAACGTCAACATCAGCGGCGGGTTGTGTCTGGAATAGGCGAAGGAAGGTGTCGTAAGTTTGACAAGAGATCAGGACAACAGCAGACTACCCCGGGAGAGCGGTGCGTGACGCTCACAATTCCGCAGCCTTTCCGTCCATTAATAGGCGAACAACTTCGTCCATTTCAGGCATAAACAACGACAATAATGAAACCAACAACAGCAGGAGCAACAACAACAGCAATAACATCAATGGATATTACACCTCTCTCACCGAAATGAGCGAGGGCTCGAGCAGAAGGCCGACCGACTTGTGCAGGGCGTACTCTCGGACCTCCTCCACTCTGAGAGACACGTCCGTCAGCTGCAGCGCGAGAGCGTCCCCGTGCTTGGAGCCCTCGACTCGACTCAGGTCTATCAGCACCCCCGTGTACCATCGGAAGTTAGACAGGTACGCGTACTTGTCACGGGAACACCTGTTCAAGAGGCAACGTGGGGGGGGGGGGGGGGGG